ATCCCAAAAATTTAAAATGCAATGTTTTTTCAAACTGTGCATAATAATGTTAAGGGGACACAGTACGATTCAATTGACCAAAAAAGATAAAAAAATCAAATTTAATTTTTTTATCCTAAATTATTCTTTATATACTTTTTTATAACTTCACAAAATTTGAAAGCTATAAACTTAAGAAACACAGAATTATATGCTTTTACCGTTTTATTCACATTTTTAAAAATCAAAAAATTTTAAAAAATAAATTATTAGAAAGATAAAATATTAGTTTGTCTTCTTCAAAATGCTAAAGCTTTTTTTCTATTGGGTAAAACTTTTAAATTTTTTTTACATATTGCAAAAGTACATGGAACAAAGTTGGTATGCATTTTTTGAATCAAAAAAGGGTATTTATTTTTTAAATAATTGAACTTGGAAATTTTTACAATTTTTAGAAATTTTTTAAAAATTCATAAAAAAATAGATGAATCCAATCAGTTAAACAAAACCCATACCAACTTTTTTTCAGTTTGACATATTTTTAAATCAAATTTCTCATGTTTAAAATTTTTTTGGGGGGGTAGCTTTTTAAAAACACTTCCCCCAAATTTTTAAATTTTTTTAAAAAAAATTTCATGCTTTTTATGAAATTTTTAGCACAAAAACTGTTTAACATAAAATACATAAGAAAAACCAAAAAAATTTTAAAATCCAAATTAAAAATTTTTTTAAATTACCATTCCCCCTTTAAACTTGCTATTGACGGAGGATCCACTCTGTTATTGATAACTTTAGACATAATGAATAAACTTCAATTACCAAGACAGCATTCTAGGCCCATAAAAATAAATCAAGCCCATTATCTTTCAATTCATTCAAATATATGATATGCATTTAAGTATTGTCCAAATAAAGAAGATGAACATGTTTGAAAATAATTTACCCTGTAATATTTTGGGACTGCAACTTTGGGCAGTTTACACATTTTTTTAATTGTTTTTTGGGACTGAGAAAATAAGCATACATTCCCCCCGAGAAAAAAGATATATTAAATCAATTTCCAGTCCCTAAAAAAAGTTTACATTAAATTTAGTTTTGATCAAACAATCATCAACAGCGCAAAGACAAACTCAAAACGAAATTTTGATATTGCCAATAACAAGGTATCCGACTACGTTCGGAACCGTGATTTTGATAAAGCGTATAAATGGATAATATTTATGATATTGAGTGTCACTTAGATGGGAAAATATATATAAAATAGTTTTAAGAAAAACATTACAAAAAAAAATTATTTAAGTACAATATTTTGACGAAAATGAACATGGGAATGACCCATTTTTCAAAATATTCTCCTTTTGTGAAAAATGTTTTGTTATTATAAATAATATTTTGGGCCCTTACATAGCTCAGATTGATTAATTGAATATTAACGTCGCACTGTTCAGCTACAGGGGGAAAGTTTTTGGCGACGGACCACAATTACAAACCCATGGTAAAAGTGACGTGGAGGGCCTTTTTGACTGGCACCCCCTCTCATAACTACCACACCACCCCCAACGGGGGGGACGTTTTTAGCTCTCGACAGATTTAACGTGCATCGCTGCCCCACGCGGCGGGGCTTTTAAAATGGTACTGGGTAACTCGTGAAAAAAGGCAAAGGGACGGTCCGATACCTTTCCACTCGGCTACCGCGGCCCCCGTATATAGCTCAGACCTCTGTACAGAGGCTCAACTAGAATTTTTGAAATATATAGTACAAAAGTGGATTTATCCATGTTTTACGACAACAGAGGGGAGAAATTTTAAGAAAAAAACGCCGATAATTATTTCAATTAGTGGTAACTCTGAAAATAATGTGAATTTTTCAAAAATCATATTTGAGCCTCTATACAGAGGTCTGAGCTATATACAGGCAAAATATTAATATAATAGAAGCATTTTTCACAAAAGGAGAACATTTTGAAAAAACGTTATTCGAAATTAATTTTTTGCCGAATTATTGTATTTAAATATTTTTTTGTCAAAATGTCCTTAAAATAAGTTCATACATGTATTCTAATCTAAGTAACAATAAATATCACGAAAAATATCCACTTATGCGCTTTTTTAAAATCACGGTTCCGAACGTAGTCGGATACCTTGAATTAAAAATTATCTAATACAGTGAAAATTCTAATATTTATAGATTCGCAATACTAAAAATAAGATAAAATAAGCTGAGATTAGACCAAAGTGTAAGAGATTAACAAACATAATCTCAACTGAACTCAGTGGCGCAATAGCCCATGAGGGCCAAGACCTACAGTGCCCATCTCAGTATACGTGAACCTGGGCTCTGAGGTGCATGAGCACATGTTCCGGTCAGGTAGTCAGTCTGGGGCGTAAGACCCCAGTGCCAAGTTCCAAAGCAATCTTGGTACTCATTTATCAACCCACTGAAGGAATGAAAGTCTGAGTCGACCTTGCCCAGTCCGGGGTCTGAACCTCGGACATGTAGTGTGGAAGCGCGATGCACTACCACCACTCAGCTATATATTGGGCTTAATATAATAAATTATCTTAAGAAATTTATTAAGCGGCTATCTTTGCACATATAAAAGAAAATACAAATAACCAAAAGGGTAATCAAGATGAGATTTATTCGATACCTCATTTTAAATACACGATATGTAAGCGAAGCTTGTTTTCTTTCCTTTTTCCCGCCACCTTTAGTGAAGAAAACTGCTGCTCATATTATGTAATACAACATCACGGGCTTTGCTCCCGCATATTAGATCGCATGTTAAAATCAAAATGTTATTAATTCTGATGTAAGTTTTTTAATCCACTTCTCTTATTCAAAGGTTTTTATATTTAAACTGTAGAATATTATAAAGTCCTCGAAAAAACATCACATTGTATATTTTATTAAACTAATCCCCTAAAAATATGACCCGAAGATAAAAATTTGTGTAAAATATATTTTAAATTATTCTTCGTTCTTCCTACTATAAGGAGAATATTCTCAATTGTCGTGATCATAGTTCGATTTTAAATACGCATTACTTTTAGAATATTCGGTTGATTGATTAAATATACAGCTGCAGGATTTAAAATTAACCACTATATTTTTCACTTTAATTTGCTAGTGTTAATTAATTATTGGTTATAATGATATGTAAACATAATGCATTGGAATGACATTCATTTTGACACACACAGTAGATTTCATTAAAAATAATTTATAATTAACCTACTTATATACAGACATAGCATTTCTCTAACCTCATTTTCATCCTGTTTTCTGTGTCTCCTTCACTTTAAGGTATCTGACTGCGTTTGGAACCGTGATTTTGCAAAAGCGTATAAATGGATAATATTTATATTTAGTGTCACTTAGATTAGAAAATGTACATAAAATTGTTTTACGAATAGTATTACAATAAAAAATTATTTAAGTACAATATTTTGACAAAAAATGAACACAGAAAGACCCATTTTCAAAATATTCTCCTTTTGTGAAAAATGTTTCTATTATAATAATATTTAGCCTGTCTATAGCTCTGACATCTGTACAGAGGCTCAACTAGAATTTTTGAAATATATATTACTTAAAAGTGGGTTTATCCATGTTTTACGACAACAGAGGGGAGAAATTTTAAGAAAAAAAACGCCGATAATTATTTCAATGGATTGTAACTCTGAAAATAATGTGAATTTTTCACAAATTATAATTGAGCCTCTGTACAGAAATTTGAGCTGTATACAGGCAAAATATTATTATAATAGAAGCATTTTTCACAAAAAGAGAATATTTTGAAAAAAGTTTATTCGAAGTTAATTTTTTGCCGAATTATTGTATTTAAATTAATTTTTTTTGTCAGAATGTCCTTAAAACAATTTTATACATGTATTCTAACCTAAGTGACACTAAATATCGTGAAAATTATCTATTTATGCACTTTTTTAAAATCACGGTTCCAAACGTAGTCGGATACCGTAATAAAAATGTACCCTCTTCAGTAATTCCTGTTTATTTTATTCAATTGTTGAGGAATGTTAATTATGCCCCAAAATCTTTTCTTTAACATTCATTAAAGAACTATATTTTTTGAATGCTTACGGATATGCAGTTTCCCTAAATGAATATGCCTTTAATCTGGTCTATACGTTATCCTTTAAATTTAAGAGGTATTCTAATTGAAAACAGGTGATAGGAACTATATATTTCAGAATTTGCGCTATGTTATTCATCAAAAAATTGGTAGTATTTTATTGGAATGTTTTTAGATACATAAGTCAAAGTGTGAAGTATTTCATATTTAATTACTCTACAGATAGCAAATTTTACAACAACGTGACTATTAATTTTTAAAGCATAATTTAAAACAAAACTTTTACTGACTTGGTCAGTGAATTACCGTAAAATCCGGGATATAACGCGCACCGGCGTATAACGCGCACCCATACTTTCAAGCTGCATTTTTTAATTTTTAGGTATATTCGTCGTATAACACGCACCCCCATTTTCAGGAAAGAACGAGAAATGAACGTGTACAATGCTGGTATTTTTAAGCCATTTATTCGAGGTATTATCCCATAATTTTGAAAAATAGTATGTTTTTAGAATCAGAATCTTTTTAATTTCATTAGGCATCTCGTTTCTTTCAAATAAATAACAGTCCGCTCTTTGCAGAAGTCTAATTTTTCTTATGTGTGTTGCTTATCTTTTTTCTTATTTTTGAAACAATCATTTTTTTATACCCGGCGTATAACACGCAACCCTAAATTTCGACGAATTTTTTGTGTTAAAAGTGCGCGTTATACGCCGGATTTTACGGTAATTCCTATTAAGTTATTGTTGATACAATAGTAACTTTTTTATATATATAACAGTTGGCAACCTGGCTACATTTCATGCTGATAAGAAACTGATAGAAATAAACTGTTTTATCTGTTTTATTCTCATGTGTTCTAGTGGTTAGGATTTCTCATTTCCACTCAAGCTGTCCGGGTTCGATTCCCGGCATGGGAAATGCATTTCCATGATGTAATGGATAGCACTCTGGACTTTGAATTCAACGATCCCAGTTCAAATCTCGATGGAAACTTTTTCCTCCAATTACTTTATATTTTTACTTATATATATTTCACAAAACCTTTTTGTTGTTTCTTTTTAATAGCAGTTATCGCCAAACCTTTTATATCTATTTTAACCTGCGGTCACTCGCTCCTGTTTTTGCTACCTTCGTTACTCGTGGGGTGTAGAGAACACCCCAAACTTTTAACACGTGTATTTAATTATAAAAATAAAAATTAAGTCATTATGATACATATTTATAAAGTACAAGATGTGTTTTGTATAATACAAATATAAAATTATTTAATTTATTGCACACAAATGAGACTAACACATTAATTTAAACTAAACATACAAAATTTTCATTTTAAAACACATAATTTTATATTTTTTCATAAAACGTATATGCCAGTAATAAATATACTTTATAATTAATGAGATAATGATAGTAGAAAAGTAATATTTTAATCATTTTCCAAACTTTCAGAGCAGGCTGTATACAAATGCTCAACTTCTCGCGGGAGTTCTTAGCCCTCCAGATAAACTTTTCAATGTCATTACATTCCAATCGTTCCTTAAAGAGGGATTGCATCACGCCTGAAGGTTCAATGACCTAAAATGTGCAGCTTCTTTTTAGAAATCTGGGAGGGTTAATTAAGGTTGTGTGATTGCTCTTCAAAAACATTTTGCTGTGAAACAACACTAAGATACTTGGTGATGGAAACACTACACGAGCATAATTACTTTGAGGCCCGACAGATTTAACATGCGTCAGCCATTCTGAATGGCGAATCTTCCGTGACATCTGAACTCGACCCCGTGACTCTGCCGAAACAGCTCTGACAACATGTTCGGAACCTTGACCTACATGGCTACCACGATCACATGTTTGGGTAAATGAGTGAGTGAATATTAACGTCGCACTGTTCTGCTACACGAGGGTTTTTGGTGACGGACCACGTAATTTTGAACCATGGTCAAGTGACGTGGATGGCACCTGAACTGGCACCCCCTCTCCTAACTACCACACCAACGGGAGGACGTTTCAGCTCTCGACCGATTTAGCGTGCATCGCTGCCATAAGCGGCGGGTCTTTGGTTGGTACCGGGCTCGAACTCGTGACAAAGCCAACCACGATCCGATACTCATACCACTCGGCTACCGCGGCCACTGTTTGGGTGAATGAGTGACTGTGAGATTTCGTATTAAAGTCGCACTATAAAGCTGAATGAGGGCTATTGGTGATAGACCTCGTGATTTTGAACCATAATGGACTGACGAGGACGACACCTGAGCTGACACCTCCTCCCCTAACTTCTACACCATATCAACAGGAAGACGTTTGAGCCTCGACATATTTGATGTTCATCAGCTTCCTCTACACTGCGGGTTTTCAGCAGTACTATGCTAGAGTTCATGAAACGTCAGCCATGAATCCGTGACTTTGACTACATGAGAACCGTGGTCACCACATATTTGGAAAATATAGAAACCTTAATAAATGTAAGAGTACTACACAATATTTTTGATTATTAACTTATCAATATATTAAAAACAAGTTTAATAATTATTAGAGCCTTCCATGAGATTGTGTCTCTCATATACAAAAATTAATACTTATCTTTATAATTTTTATAGTTTATAATAAAGTCGTATTGTAGTTTTAGTATCTAAGTACATCATTTTTATTGCATTTAATACGTTGTTATTGTAGAAGAGGGCGCGATGAAAATTATTATTAAAAATCGGGTCGCAAGCAATGAAATCTTTTGAAGCACATCTTTAGGAAGTTGTACTGCATCGAACATGTATATGTTCTATTGTTCTGAAGCTCTTAAATTTTCGAATGAAGCAGGATAAGCTACATTACAATTATTAATGTTTGAGACATCAAACACTTTGCTTTGAACATTCTCAACTCGTATCTAATTTTATAGGAACACTTTTATGCACTACCTTTGAAGACAGAAATATAATAAGAATACACTTTAAAATGCAAACTTAACATTAGAGAAGCTGTAGCATAACTTTTGCTTTTAGAAAAATTCAATTCCTTTCCATAGTTTATATCCAACAAAATAATCTTTCACATTGTTATATTCGAATTTGTGCTTCCCTTACGTCTGAGCTTTAAATGAAGTGAAATCATGTTTGTTGTCTAAAGGGAGTGTCATTATATAGGATATATGAATATTGATATATTCATATTAGGATGAATAAGTAAGTCGAGTTATATTTTCAGATAACTCTTTTGAATCATCAAGGTTATAGTGTACGTATTTATGCAGTCTGTGATACACTTTCATAACGAAGTTCTTATATTAAATTCCAAAAGGTTTCTTATGTATTGAAGTAATTCTCGGAATCTCCATATGAATTGAACCACTCAGATCTTCTAGTTCGAAAATGTACTTTCATAGTTCCTTGAAAGATTTTTGAAAGCATTGTATAATTATTGGTAAAATATTAGAACTACAACACAATGGTAAGATATTTTTCACAAAGAAAAAAAAATGCGTAGTTTATTAAGAGGAGTTGGAAACCTCTCTCTCTCTCTCTCTGTACTGACAATGTTAAATTGGCTGTTTTCGATGTACCTTTTCTCCAAATCTGTTATGTGTACATCCTTGAAATTTTTCATACAATTAAAGAACATTTTTCTCATTACACTTAAATGATCTTTTAGGTAATTTTGAATTTTTTGATAATTTAGGAAATATTTTATCAAACATTGCGAAATTTGACCCATTGTTCACATAAACAATTTCTAAAAAAATAAATTTTGAGTTTTTTTACAAAATGCACATTTTAGTATATATTAGCCATTATTGTAAATATATCATAAGAAATTCACATACCTGTGAGCCGTAGTTTCTCAGAAAAGGTACATCGAACATCAAATCGGCTAGTAAATAAAAAAAAGGCTCAATTTACAATAAAAGATACATGTTTTGGTTTATATTAGACGTTCAACTTTTAAGCAAGAACAAAGTACTTTGTTTATATATTTCGCCATTCAAATGGGCGTGGCGCAGTTTCAACGATTATTCAAAAATAGGTTTTAAGGGCTTCTAATTACCCTAGAGGTTAAAATAAGGTATTTTTAGAAAGGTTAGAATCTATACCATTTGAAATTGTAAAAATCTCAAATTGTCAAAAAAAACTAGATTTTAGCTTTTCAACGCCCTTAAAATATCAAAAATATTATTCTTGGTTTTGTTTTAAGAAAAATTTTATATCTGGATCTGCATATCGACTCAAGTTAAATCTTTGGATCACCTTCGGTATCCAACAACGTGTAAAATATTTAATTATCTTTTAAAAAATTGAGACAAGAGATTTTTGAGGTTGATTTTTAGATTCAAGTAGTTAAAGTTAGAAGTAAATTTTTCTTTTTAAGGAATTTTTGTTGTTTCTGAACTATCCAAATGGGCAAGAACTGGCGTAAATTTTTTTTAAAAAAGGTGTAAAAACGTAGCACACACTAAATAAAAAGTTTACAAACGAATCTCTCTAATTTTTCAACATTTATATTTTGCATTATTATTTATAAATGAAAATGACATAAAAGATGATATATATATATATATATATACGTTGATTGGGGTTCAGAGATTTTATGTCAATCAGTCGCATAGAAGGCAGTTCTTTAGGAGAGATGAGAATTTATTGTTGAAAACAACATCCAGTGAGTTTCGGTAGTGAAATATCTGGGCCTACACATCGATAGCCGCCTAACGTTCAAAAAACACATCGACTATCTCTCTGAAAAGTTCTGGGGTAGAATACATTTAGCCATCTCCCTTGTCGGGAGAAGGTCACCTCTATCTCTAGAAAATTAAGTCATTCTTTACAGACAAGTTTTGCGGCCAGTGATAACGTACGCTGCCCCGGTCTGAGGAGCGGCAGCTACCACCCACTTGAAAAAAATTCAAGTAATTCAAAACAAAATACTCCACGTCATGACAAACGCACCTTGGTACGTTTGGAATGACGTTATACACAACGACCTACATACGGAGCCGATTTCTAATTACATGACTAAACTTTCTAGAAATGTTTTTAAATCTATAGAATCTCATGACAATCCAATTATCAAAGCTCAAACATTGTTTACTTATCCTCATCCTAAAATTAAATATGCATACTCTTCAACGAAGTGGAGAAACCCGCTTAGCTCCCCATAACACAACAATTCCACTCTTTTCACACTCTTGAACAACACAAGCAGTTTCGCTACATTGCATCATTCCTTTTGGGTTCATTTGGTGAACTGTCACCAACTTGATTAACTGCCTCGGCCGTCCCGTTTACCTTCTTGCGTTTCTCCCCTCCGCCCCGCCGCCGTTCTGCTTGGGGGCACGTTCATCCCTCCCCACTCGGTTGAGCTTTCTTAATTTGACATCCTTCCTTCACATAGTTTTCTTTTTCTCTCATCCTTCTGGGAATAGGCGCCTTTGGCGCCGGCGATCATCTAATTTTAGTTAGTATTGTCGAAAATCTAATACTTGAAATACAGAATTCAGCAGCAATATTTGCAGAATAAATCTTAAATGGTCTTCACGCCTTTAACAGCACTCAGACACAATTATCGGTGTCTAAAATACACGTATATAAAAGATTTTTCGCAAGCGCAATCACTCTTTCAACAGCCGAAGTAATCACTAATTGCTTCAACAATCAGAGCAATACAAACTGATTGCAAGTCAAAACTAGACTGACTTTCAGCGAGCATCTCTCAATTTGTATTTCTAGCGGATAATTCGAGAAAGATCCGATTGCGTCACAGATCTTGAAATTAGAGTATTTCTCTACTAATTTCTAGATGAATCCAGAGGGTCCCGAATTCGCCAAAAATGGTCACCAACATGATCGCCAAGTTGCCCAAGTCACCAAATTGGTTGCCTAAAATAACGCTAACTTGGCTCTATCGCTAAGATTTCACTAAATTCCCTTTGAATTAACATTATAACGTAAGGGACGGCGTCATTGCTTGTGAATATTACAATTTTAAAGTAAATTAAATCTAAT